TGGTAGGTGAGTAATAGCCGTATGTGGAAATATCACCAATTATTAATTAAAGTATTCTCTTTTTAATGCAACAAGCCGTTTTGAAAAATCACTTTTAGTTCTTGAGAAATAAATTTTTGAAAATTTTTTTCGAATTTTGCAATTTTCGCCGATTAAGTTTTAAAAATTCGTATAAAATCCATTTCTTAGAATCTGAGTACAAAAAAGAGTGAGTTCCTAAAATGTTAATAAAAGTGTCCTCTTTCCAATGAACCAACCCGTTTTGAAAAATAACTGTTAGTTTTTGAGAAAACAATATTTGAAGTTCTGATAAAATATTCGATGTTGCAATTTTCATCCAAATAAGTTGACATATCTTATCAGCTTTCTTATTAATTTCACTTTTATTTAAATATCGCAATAATGTGGCAATATAATAGGGTATCACTTCAGAAATGCATCAAAAATTATAACCATAATGACCGGATAGATATGCCGGATAACCGGATATCCGCCCGATGGGGATGCCGAATATCCGGTATCCGGCTATTCGCAAAATCACTATCCTTTCCATCACTAGTATACACAATATGCTTTGTGTTGATCAAAAGAAATTTTTTAAAAATTGTAATGATCAAGAAATAAAATTCAAATTTTATTAATTTGTTATTTAATAGTGAAAAAACTATAATACAGAAAAACAACAGAAATTTAAAAAATAATTAAATAAATAAAGTAATTTAAATCTTAATATTCTTGACTTACAATCCACGCATCATAAGGTATATTATCAAAAAGAGTGTGTACAAAATTCGAGATGAGCCCAACCAATTTCTTTTTTAAAGCCGGTTTCATTTCTTTAAGTAATTCTTGAGAATTGGTGTTGATAAATAAGTTTAAGGCAGCTTCTGTAAAAGCAAAAAAAAATCGAATCGATTTTATTCGATTTTAAAATAACGGTAAAGTACTTACGAATAACTGTATTTCCGTTATGAACGTTGTCGACTCCCATTTTAATATTTTTAACGCTAAAATCCATTTTAACCTGGTCCAAATTTAAGTAAGTTCTTCCATATTTATCGGTTGGTGTGGCTTTTATGTATACTTTTGCTTTTACACCCTCTAAACAAGCATTTTTATTCTATTTTTATTAAAAAAAAGATAATTTTCTTACCATATTCTCCCCAATAATCACCACCTCCCGTTGCTGGCACCAAAATAAGAATTCCACTTGATTCATATTGAGCTTTAGCGGAAATTTTCGGGATATAAAAAGTAAATTGGAATTGATTACTTGGTATATCAGATCTAAAAATTTATTTTTAGTTATATATTTTTTTAATTTAACAAATTTATTTACCTAACTTGAGTAATCGTTAAATTACTAACTCCGTAAGCTTGAATATTTCTAAAAGAAGCTCTATAGCCGTCTGGTCCACTTCCTAAAGAAATACCAATCTCATCGATAACGATTGGTTCCGGTTCTGATAATCCTAATTCGGGAATTCCATAATTTATATGTTGAAGTAAAACATTTGCGGATCTTTGAAGGCATTTATTTACATTAGGATCTTGTTTATCACACTGCTTTAAATAATAAAATTCTAAAACATAAATTTTTGTTACTCACTTTATAAAATCTAGGTCATCATACTACTTAAAACATCAAAGAAAATTTAATTTAAAACTAATAAATCGACATTTCTTTAAAACAATTTATTTATCTTACCATCTTGACCTGAAGCTGTTTGTAAAACGAAGAATAATATCAAAAATTTATACATTTTCTTGTGTTTGTGTCACTGTGTTAAATATTCTTATTAAGAATCCGGTTCTTCTTCGGAAGTAAAACCGCTACTGACCTCTTACAAGCTTGACCATGACTTTGATAGGTACTTGTATTGGGAGGGGAGTCGACATTGGAAGGTGTAAAAAAAAGAAATTGAATAAAAAGAGTATCTAAAAGATGATGATACGGCATAACGGGATCGAAGGTATACAGGGTGAGTCATATTTATGAACTGAATGTACAGTAAAATAGAGATTTATTTATTTATGTTGTGTAAACTAACATTGTTTTATGGTTTTTCGCAGATTACTCTTTAATTTTTTAGTACTTGTCGTTTTAATACACTTATGTTAATTACTTTGCAACGTACTTGCAGAATAGCTTAACAAATGATTATAAATAATAAAACTTGTAGAAAGTAGACATACAAATTTAACTTCCACATAAAAAAATACTGATTAAAAAATGATTTTTATATTTTTTGGTAATATACCTTGAGTTGTGTCTCTCGCATTACCTCTGCGATGCCTTCATTCCAGGATCTTCTCGGTCTTCTACGTTTCTTCCTCCCTGGCTCTTCTTCTCAAATAGTCCATCTCGACCCCATATCTTACTATCATAGCCCAGGACTGGCACTACTAGTATGTCCTCTTCTTATGTTCTTGTCCCACCATAAACTGTTAAGGCATCCTATAATTTTCCTGCTTACTTCTTTATAATGTTGTTTAAAATTTTTATTCTCTTACAATACACTTTACCTACAAGTACATGAATACATAAAATTATGTATAAAAGCAGCGATAGAAGCGCAAAAAGAAGGAAAACACCAAATGCCGTATTGGTGGGATGACGAGATTGAATTCAAAATAGAAAAGAAACGAAAATTATACAAAATTGTGTTAAGCTCCAAAGGGCTAGACGATAAACTTGCATATAAGCAAGTAGAAATAAGTATGCAAAAAATGATTACTACAAAGAAAAATGAAAAATGGGAGAAAACATAGTAGAAGAAGAACTCAAGAACATGGAATCAATACTTAAGATTAAGAATAAGTTTAGAAACGAAGATAGAAAGGATATACTTACAGTAAAACATGTCATTATAGATGACATAAACACTGCCCTACGAAGATGGTGTGAAGATGTATAAAGAATGGGTCAAGACTACCAAATAAAGTATTGCAAATACCAGTTCTATACCCATCAAAATTATCTGTCTACGTAAGAACTCCCAACAAGCTGTGCAATGTAATCTTAAAACGTGTTTATTGCCAAATAATGTTGAATGTTATCAATAAATTCGTCATCGAGAGCTTGTATTGAGAACATATATAACCAAAGGCTTTGGAATTAGATTACTTTCTTGTTACGTTCATTTGGGATTAGGTTAGCTTGTTTTGGATTGCTTTAGGCTTGGATTCGTTACTTTAGGTTGCTTTAGGTCGTTGCTTTAAGTCTTTTGGGGATGGGTTAGCTTACCTTGGAATTGGGTTGGGTTGCTTTTGGGTTTGATTCGTTGCTTTAGAGTTACGTTAATATTCTTGGTATTCGGATTGGATTCCTTAACCCTTATGTGACTGAAATAGTACCCCGGGGTATCAGTTCCGTACTTAATGTCTTATAACTCGTTTATTTATTATTTTTTGTGCGCGAATCTCTGTGACATCTCGGAATATATCATTGTCAAAAGATTTTTGCATTTTTTCCAGCTTCAACAAACAAACAGAATATAGAAATATGATTTTATTGGCAAGGATAATTAAACAGTTTAGTAAAAAATATTGACGTGAACAAACAAAAAATAATAACAAATTAACTAACTAGGTCTATTATTGCACAAATCACACACTGGTTTCGTTGTAGAATCTTCGGCATAAATGGGTTTTGTGCAAGAACTGCAAGCTTTTCGTGTTTTTCGTTGTTTTCGGAAATTTGACCGACAGACATAACAGTATCCAACACACTAGATACGTCCAGTTCATCCCTGTATACTACATCTCGTGTTACATTGACTGCTTCTGTAATTTGACGACTTAAATTAATAATATTATACACTGTTGGAAATAATTCACGAGCACACCTTGTATAATCTGAACGCGTGTGTCTAGCGCAATAAAATTTGGTATGGAAGTAGTACTAAAGTAGTGTAACTTACTCTCACATGGAGAGCGGCACAACTCTGCTGGGAGGAGAAACATCAATAACGAGAGTATCCCTCGTGAGCTTCGTGTACCATCGCTACACGACGTGGCATGGAGTCTATAAGTCGCTCTATTGTAACGAGAGGGATGGCCAACCATGCCACCTCATCTCGCCTCCATAGCTCGTCAACGTTAGCCGAGGAAGCTGGATAACGTAGAAATCTCCGACCAGTCATGTCCCAAACATGTTCGATCGGATTCAGATACGGAAACCGAACTAGCCATGGAAGCATTCGTATACGGTGCTCTTCCACAAAGGTCTGTACAACACGCCCGATGTGCTGTCGTAGGTTGTCGTGCATGTATAGCAGACCTGGGAGCCGCCGAACGTAAGGAAGCACAACGGACCGTAGCACCTCATCTGCGTATCGTTGACCCGTCATGATCTGCTATACACGCAGCAGACGTGTACGTCCACCATATGTAATCGCACCCCATACCATAATGCTCGGTTGGCGGTGGATAGGGCGTTCTTGCACATACTGCTCGAGTAGACGATCAGCACGGCTCCGACGAACTAAAATTCGCACATCACCGCTGCTCAATTCGAATCTTGATTCGTCGGAAAACAAAATGTTCCTCTACTCGGCAACCTACTAATGCCTAGCGTCGACCCACTCGTGACGTATGCTGCGGTGCTCGGGTGTTACTGGAATCCGCTGTATCGCACGACGCGCGCGCAATCCACTATTTACCAAACGCCGCCCGCGCCGCCGTACAGTTCGTGTAGTAAGTGCGGCTTAAGTACTCGCTTAAGTAATGCGATCGCCCATCCATTGCGCACAGAGTATGATAACAATGTGGTCCCTCACACTACACTAAAAACGACTGACGAGACATCGCTGCTCGAATAAGTGGCAAAGAATAGCTTTCTCACATTTCGGTAATATGTTCTTTGTTTGACTTATGAACGCCAGCAATTATGAGAATTCCTAAACACGCATCCAATTCTTCTTGAGTAAATGTGTTAAAAACTTGAGGTTGTTTTTTAGTTCAACCTTGATAATTTTCCAAAACATTTGTTTTATAATTTTCTGTTATCAGTTGTCCTTTTGCATTACTATCCCGAAGAATTGTGGAACATATATCATTGGAGATGATAGTTCTAAATATTTCCTTTGGTGTATATGTAGAAATTATTGCCGTCATACCCATTTTACCTCTCAAAATATTACGGCTAATTGTTTGGGCCTGCCGTTGTGGTGCACTATTCCATACACTTTGCCATCGTAGCTAGTCAAAACAGCAGATTTTGAAGAGCGCTCCAATTCATCTGACACTTTCATCTGACATATCATATTGTTCAATCAAGGGTTCGTCTTCAATATCGGACACTTCTAAGTCTAAATTTTCATGTACATATTCCTCTTTTTATTATTTTCTTACCATTTCCTTTGATACCTTGGCTTACGCAATCCAACAATAGAATGTCATTTTTTTTTTACACCGCAATACTATTATATAGAGCAAAATATTATAAACATAAATTTGTAATTATGGATATTTAACTACGATATTTATAACTATCGTAAATAACTATAGTTATTTACTATGCACTATGTCTGAGATATCACACTAGAATAGACGAAAACCTGATCTGACGAGTTTCCGTTGCACGTGTAGATCAGAAGCAAGTTCGAACATGTTTATAAATGGGACTAAATACATAAATGTTTACTTATGATATGTTAACAGGAGTTTTTTTTTAATCTATAGGTCGTACAAAACGATTTCAATATCAAACAGTAAGATTTTCCGTATCTAGTACCCGGGTACTATTCTTGTTATTAGGCAAGACATGCCAGACAAGCAACCAGATGTCATCTTTGAATTAAAATAAGTTTGGTTGTTTTGCTATGGGGTTGCATTTCTTTGTATTTGTGATACTTTGGGTTATTTGACATCTTTTAGACTTCTTTTTACATAGTTCATTTTTGTGTTCAATTGCTTTAGGTATAGGTTAGTTTATCATTAAGTTACTTCTCAGTTCAGTAGCTTTGAAATTTGATTGATTTGTTTTTGAGTTGGATCATTTTGTAATTAAGTTCGTTTGAGACAGTGCCTAAGAGTTGTTTCCTTGCTTTGGGGTTGGGTTAGCATACTTTGTATTTAGATTAGATTTCCAAAGCAAAATGAATTAACGACGTGTCAACTTCAAAATTAAAACAAATTGACTTGAGGCATTTCTTTGTCATTGTGATACTTTGGGTTGGTTTGTTGAATTGTAATTGAAATGCGGAACTAAGTAATGGTACGGAATCACACAAATACGACGTAATGGTGAATACGATTCATCGTATTGGAGACTTTTCAGATATATAAGATTTCTTCATCCAATAGCAAAGAGAAATAAGATTAAATTAATAGTCAAACAAGTATATAACAGTATTAAGGATCAATACGAGATAGTTCAATACAAAAATGTGATAAATCTTTCAAACAAATCAAAAAAACATGAATCAAAATTTATGCACATTGTGTAAAGTTACTTTATGTAATTTAGCCATAAAAATTGTTTCTCGAGAATCGAATAAACAGATTTCGCAAACAGTTTTACAGAGAACCAATTTTTACGTAAGACTTTATTTTTCTGAGAGTGGAGGTTTTGCAAGAATTGAAAATTTGTTATTTTAAAATGATACTAAGGATATTAATTTGATGATAGTTATGGTCAACTATGACAGTGCTAGGTGTTGAGGGAGTTCTTTTCTTAATACCTAAGAACCACTTGTAAGAAATGTCAAATTAAATAGGTGATTTTTGAAAATTTGGGCGAGATGGAACATTGACTCTCAAAGCTTATAATTCGGTACAAACCAACCTAAAACCCTCCTTTATAACCTCACAAAGTTTCATTTCTTAATTCCCAACCGCTTTTAAGAAAAATTG